ACCATGTTAGGCTACATTTTTCTCAGGCCACCAAATTAAGAAATATCCCCCACTATGAGATAAAGGTGTCAAGAGATTAGATTGATATGTTATTTTGTCTACTTACTAAAACCAACTTCTGATCATATGCTATTTGTTTTCTACCTTAAGGACTGAATTGATAGACTTTGGCCGTGGGAAAACCTCTATGAAAATGAACTCCAGGAGGAAAATCTTAAGTTCAAACTGTTAGAAATAGAAGTGAAATCTATGAGATAACAGTATATATCTCCTCTCACGTAATTTTTTTTAAAAAAAAAATTGATAAAAAATGTACAGTAGCAGGCGTGATTTTTTTTTTGAAAGTGGGAACAGGCAGAACTATTTGCCCTTTTTCAGCAAAGATATGTATAAAGAAAATAAAGATTTAGTAAGGTAGAGTGGCAAGCTTGCCTTATTGGCTTGGAATTGTCACAAATGTTCAATCATAAAAGGGGATTCCAGGTCTGATGCTTGGTTGCACCCAAGGTCCCTTGTGTTCCCACTTTGCACCAGCATGGAGATTGGCAGATTGATCTATGGACTTGACCAACCCTTGAAAGCGAACCACAATTAAGTCCTTTAATTCATCTGACAAGTACATTTTTGAAATAGTTATTGAAAGGCACAGAAAAAAGATAGAGATGGCACTCCCCAATCCAATTCTCATAATATAATCTGTTGCTTCTGTTGAAGCTTTAAAGATTTCATTTTTGAGTAGACGGACTGCTTTAAGATCGGCTGATGTAGGTTAATATGATATTATTGATATACGATGCACTAATGTCAGGCTTCAGAGTGATCAGATGGGAAATATTAATAAATGGTTTCAATAGGTTAACTACTAAATTGATATCAAGCACCAATTAAAACAGTTTTTGTTCAATAAAATTTTCAATTTTTGGTTGGTAAATATATTCCTGTGGCCCATTTCATCACACAGTTCAACTGGGATGCATGTCAGTTCTTCATTAAACCCAGATGTTGCTCAAGTCAACCAAGATAACTAGCTAGACCATTAAGGGAATTGGTTTAAAGTTTTGTTAATTGGATGATTCAATATTATGCCAGTGAGTTAGATTTTGGATTGTGCTTAGTAATTAATGGAGATGTTAGGGAAAGATTTGAAGAGTGTATGATGAATTTGAACAGGGAATCATGTGTTTCCCTGACCAAATAGAATGCAAAAACAAGCTTCATGGTTTTCTGGTTGAAGATTCTTCAATTCAATTTTCCCGAGAGGCAAAATCTTGCATTTTACCTTAAAATAATATCTTCAAGAAGTAGAAGGTGGTGCAAGTTGTGAACGAGAGCGAGAAAGACCCATATTCATAGAAGTCAAGGGGCAACTTTAATACTGAAAAGAATAATAAAAACTAGGGATTACTGTGTTGGGAAACGCAGAAAGCCTGTCACAAAAATTACTCCATTTCTTACAACATTAAAGCCGCACTGACAGCAGCTGTGTCACCACTTACAAAATGACACTGTTGTCTAATTATTACTGTTTCAAATCCCAATGCCTATCTTTTCCCACCCAAGGCCACATACAAAACCGGGCCAGGATTTTGAGGTTGACTTACCCCTGCCCGAAAACCCACAAGCAGACAACATATCAGGCCACCACCAACCCATTTGCTTTGGCTCTTCTACAGGCTGCTCTCTCTGTGACTGTCCTATTCTACTATATAAGTTTAGTTCACCACTAAAAACTTGCCACATACTTTTCCCAAAAGGGGATAAAAGGTTAGAATGAGCTCTTCCGCGCTGAACCCTCTAGCTAGGCCACCACGAGCAATCCTTTGTGCTTACTATGGCAAATGATCTCCCAGATTAAATCCATTATTTTTTTAACCCTTTAGTTATCATCATATTGTTCATGGCTGTAGTATACTAGTACAACCTTTACCGTTAAAGCGAAACCCTTTTGTGGGGTAAACTTGTCTGCAGCTGGTCCAAGTACCCAAAGGAGAAAAGAAAAAGAAACAAAAGAGAAGATACAGCTTAGTTCTCTGAAATTTGCGACTGTCATTTGCAAAGCTCGCAACATTTTAACTTGTACACTACCATTCTTAATCTTACACATGACCCATATCTATGCATACATTGGTGGGTCTGTTACACATTCTACTTCTACTGTTTACATGACTAGAATTTAACTGAACATAAGCACCGGGCCACTTGTTAAAAGTTTTTATTTAAAGAAATATTTTCATTTAATGCATGAAAAAGCTTCACATTCACAACTTACTGTAGCATTAAATACAAAAATATTTCTTTAAATACTACCTTAACAAGTGTTTATAATTAAGCTTTCCTTCATAATATACTAATATTTTATTAACCCACTGGACTGTACTCGAAACTAAGCCCAAAAAAACCTAAAACGTGGCAGCAGCAGCACCTAGAAGTCACGTGGTCTGTACCCAAAATGCAGCTTCGGAGAAGCCCCGCCAGGCTTGACGGAGAACACCCCGTTCCAGATCTCCGTGAAAGCTCTAACAATAATCCCATGATGATAAGGCGAATTCAGCTGCAAGAAACAGTTGAGAAGCTCCCTTAAATCATCTTTGGAATATATCTCCTTCTCCAATATCATTTGCAACATGGAGTGCCTGAAATCCAAATAAGGGTCATCGGAGTCTTTCTCCACAGCCAGGCTCTCTCCCCCCACACGGCCAAACCCTTGTACTTTGGCCATTGAACCCTTTACTTCCTGGTCCGTGTCGGTGTCCATGTCCCAGTACTGAGGAGTGTCTGTGCTTGGAGAAAAAGAGGTGGCAGTTTCATATTCTGAGAAGGAACAATGGGTTGTTTTCTTGGAAAGCGAGAAGTATTTAAGAGAATTGGTAAGAGAATGGATTGTTTGGTTTCGTTTCGGTTAAAAAAAACTAGTGAGCTTCGGCTTCTTGCAGCTGCTGCAGCCTAAGCTGACTGATACTGTGTTGAGGATCAGCTTTTTTCTGTTGCTTGACATTTTTAGCAGAGAAAGAAAATGAGGGGTTTTAGAGTTTAGAGTGCAAGGAGCAAAAAAGAGAGAAAAGAGTGCCTTGGCTTGGACCTTGGAGTTGGGATGAGGCAATTGTCTGAGCATGGGGAAGTTGTCTATAAATCCTGCATGTGAACAAGGAGGGTCCATAGGGTGATAGAGTCACTGCTTTGTCACTTTCAGTTTTCATGACAAGTTGATCACAACCGTTCAATATTTGATTAAGATGATATTTATACCAAAAGAGATAAATTAGTGTTAAAAAATGAACACCCATCAACAGCATTTCTTTTATTACAAAAACGTTTTGCATGCATTAGGATCATCAAATGGTTTTTATTGAAAATATGGAACTTGTTAAATGGCTGTCATTAATTACATCATGAGTTTATTGTGATGATGTATTTTCCCATTGTCAACTGGATAGAGCAGACCGTGTCATTATAGAAAAGAATCATTCATAGGAAGGGTTGGTTAGTCCATTGAGTTAAGATGATGTTAATGAATTGGTTAGGAGGCTAATGTCCTTTTAATAAATAAAATATACAATTATATATACAGAAACTGCATGACAGCAGAATGACCTAGGGATCGGACCTTCTAAATACACCATTTGTCATTTGATTAACAAATTATGAGCACCAACCCATTGGAGAAGAATATATAGGAACTCAAAGTGTAAGTGGAATTCAAACATATCCCAAAGTATTAAGGATTAAAAAGAGATTATGAGGGTATAATAAATGAAAGAAAAAGAAGAAACTATGCTGGAGCATTTGACTTGAGAATGGCAAGAGTTGACAAACAAAAAAAAAAAACACCAAGGAACTTTAATGTTTTAGTTTAACCAATGGGAGTTGACAAGCCTTGAAAGGTCGTATGGCCCATGGCACAAAGGCCATGAGGATGTGTTGAGAGCAAGACTTATTTGGAATCAATTGGACCATCATGTGTTTCTAATTAGTTAAGTTACAAATAGATTAGTTGTCATAGAAAAGGATTAGAGTAGGGTGTTTTCCCCATTGCACTAGTAGTCAAAATCATTGGATGCATGGCAGCAATTAGCTCCCTTATTTCTTTACAATAAAATAGAGAACAATTTTACAAGCAACTTAAGTATTGAATGCAATGCAAGCGTGCAAGAGCCACTCATAGACAACAAGGTGATTCACGTCACGTCATAATCATTCTCCAGTTTCAAGTTCTCACATTTTCCACTATGATGGGCTTGTACATAAGGATCACGTTATAGTGTGCTAGCCCGGAAATCAAGGTTCACGGGGCAAATTCAAAGCTAATACCAAACCAGCTGGTCAGCAACCACAAGTGATCTTGTGATTCTGCTGCCACTATTTGGTTTCTGTTAAAAATATTAATATACTACTGTCACGGGATATTGGAATGATTCTGCTTCTGCAGCTGCACCCAAGCTTGTCTCATCTCACTCGCGTGAAAAACGCCATGGCGGTCGGTTCCCCGTCATCAATCTCTGCTGTGCATTGTAGTGAGAAATGCACGCCAAGATATACATACGCTACATAGAGGTCACACAACAATTACCTCCATGGAGGATACCTCATTTCTCTCTGCTCTTCCTTCCTCTTGGTCGACATCAAACTTTGCACTGCAGACTGCATAGCAGTAAGGATAATAGAGGCTAAGCTACCAAACTCTTAACCTTATCCTAATATACCCATATCACATGCAAATCGGACACCACAAGTTTGTATGGTATTCAGATATAATTCTCCAAATATAAGAAAAACTAGCAAAATTTTCAACTTAATCATTTCCTTTATGGATAACTCTGACAAATGCACCTGAATTTGAACAAGATTGAACACAAGTGCCTCCACATGACTAGGTATAGCCAACCATCTAATAAGCTCTGACCTAACTCATGACTCTCCAGTCAAGGTTAGATGCCTTACCATTAACAAGACTACGGGCTCATGCTCACCAGTTAAAGTTGAAATTTGATGTAGGTAGCATAGAACACTGCAATCTTTTGCCCTTAATAATTGCTTGCATACTAAGATTACAACACATCTAAATCACAGATGCCAGCATCTTTATAAAATCATGGAGTATTGGGTTACATTATATAGCATCTGCATATACAAGTTTATGACAGTTGGAACCACTGCTGCTATAACTAGATTAGTTATTAGGTGATCACATTAAAGTATGGGTCCAACTTGACCTGTCAAAGAACTGAGTAGTGCATAGCTTGTTTCCAATCCATTACAAGCCGAGATGATCCTTTTAATCATTTGTTGCTGCAGCCAATGATGCTCAATCACTTGCACTGCGGTCCAAACTCAGAAAGCAATGAGTCTGATGTTACTGCTTGAATTTGCTAATTTATTCTTTATCAAGCATAGCAACATGGCGAGCAACCCATAACGAGCCAGCCTCAGTACAACGAAACTATATGAGTGTCCCCTCCTTTCAATTGATAGAGCAATGCCCGATGCTGCTTAGAGATCTGAGAGAAAAAAAAAAGAATAGACATGACCAGGCACCACCGTTAGACAATGCCAAGTGAGGAGAAAATGTTAAGAGGAAAACATTTTGGTGGAAAACAGGAAAAGCTCAACATCAAATGTAGAAACACCATGATCGGTGACAATCAGGGCAATAATCACATCTTTACGCACCCCCACCCCACCGCCGCCCCGCCTCCTTTCCCCAGTAATTCCCTTTCTCAGATGGACCATCTTTACATCTGTATAGCTGCAAAATTTCTAAGCAACACCAGGGTTTTCTATCAGGAATTTTACTGCAAGGCATGTCCTTGGATTCAACAACAGGGCTCCCTGAGTCTTTTTCCTTTTTTTTTCTTTTATGCTAATTTAGAAACCCAACCAATGTTTTTCTTTTTTTTTTTTTTAACAAAGCGAACAGAAAACTGACAAATATAGCCAAGTGGGATTCACAAGTGCATCAAGAGTATAATGGTGAGTGCTGGTAATAACGATGATATAAGTCACCCTCATTATTCTTAGAGAAAATTAATGACTATCATTACTGTGAACCATTACCATTAACATCATGGAATTGCATTGCCAACCTCACAAAAGCCCTTTGAATGCTATTGTTACATTCCCACCCTAAACATATAATTAAAAATATTATCCTAGCAATGGTATCATTGTCTACATTACATATCTCTCTCACACAAACAGAAGCCCTGAGGTGCTCCAATACTTCAGAAATGACTTTTATGCCCTTTTAGCAGTAGAGGGTTTTGAGGCTCCCAAGCCAAAATAGAGTAATTAAGAGAGAGACAGAGAGAGAGAGTCCATTGTTTTTACCTCTTCGAACATTTTCAATGGACCCCAGTGATCATCAATTCCATACATGAATGCAATTTTATCCTGGTTCTCTCTCATAAATTCCCAATCTGGTGTTTCTGAAAGCTAATCAAAAAGGATTATAGTAAGTAGTGATCACAAGATTGTTGATGTAAGTTTACATTCCTAATTGCGTAATACTGCCCAATATTTTCTGTAGGATAGATTAAGTGATAGATGTATTAGGACTTGAACCAAGAAATAAAGGAAAGCATAATGCAACAAAATGAAATGGGAACCACGAAACCTGCAATCCTTGTTTTGAAACTAAAAATATCTCACAAAGATAAGAAGGAAGTCCAAGCAAGAGGTATCAGGATTTATTAGCTGAAGACTTATTCAAAGGGTTGATCAATTATCAGAAAGCATGCAGTCAACCTCAGTACCCATCTAGCTATTATTCCTGTATAGAGGTGAACCAAAACGAAACAATCCAAGTTGGAAAAGGTTATCTACAGCTAGAGAAGCACAAATGGGACCTGCATTAGCACAATTCATCGAAAGCTATTATTATGGTTTTGCAGACAACAAAACAAACCAGATATCTGAAGCAGATGCAGAAAATTACTTTTAGATAATTGCAAGTTAAGTTTTAAAAAAAAAAATTCGAAGAATATACAAGAAAAGGATGACAAAATCAGTGAAGGTAATTACCCAGAAGGAAGGTTGCATGGATACAATGACAACAAAGACACATGATCAAGAACATGATATGCTGCTGCAATAAAAAATCTGATGTTTCATAATGAAATGTTCTCTAAGAGGATACTTCTGTTGTTATAACCAATTTTATAGACTTTAAGTATCTTACAGCATCAGTTTCCTGTTCTCAACATGAGTATACCTTTCTGAACTCTGTCCTGGCCATAAATAGCACATTCCGCATAGTATGATACTGCAAACAAATAGAATGGCACACAAAAGTTAATTTCTTCAATATTAAACATGCACTTGATTGTAATATTACTCATGAGAAAAAATAAATACACTTAGAAAGTCCTCTAGGGCATCTTGCATACAAGATAAAAAATAGACCCGCGAAAAGGAAACAACTACTGCTTATAATTTGAAGGACTGAATTTGAACAGGACTTCACCTGTGATAAGTGAGAGCAACCAGCTTCAAGGGCAGTATTAGACCATGACTTCCCAACAGAAAGTTTGAAAATTAACCTCAAAACCTGTCTTGGTAACAAGCCCAAAGATGCTACAAGGAAACTAAGCGTAGCGGACAGGACTCTGGACCTGAAACTCACAGATTAATTTTATTGATTCTCAAAATCCCCATTCATTGATGGTAGAATGTCAAAAGGCAAGATTAAAAATGATGAACACAAGCCTCCAACAGAGGCAACAGACTAACAAATAGGTCCAAGAGAGAACACACAGTATACCCACAAACTTAAAACTAACACTTAGATTAGCTTTTCTTTCATTTTTTTTTAATAAAAGAACAATGAATAAACAAATACCAGATCAGTATGCTGCAGAAATCTTATAAACAGTGTCCAGTAAAGGAACCATGAAAATAGTGGGAAAGGAAAATCAAACATACAATGCAAAAAGGCACCCAAAGATGTGGAGAAAATACAACAAATAGAGCAGGAGTGGAGTGGGGGCAGAACACTGGAAATTAGTATTCATCATAATAGAGTACTGCAATGTTACAGAAAATATGTATAGTACGGAAGTAATGTTGCTCATGATAGAGAAAGAGCTTTACATTGCAATTCTCACAATGGTAGACTGCTTCTTTGATTGCAGATTTAAGGCCAAGAATGGATAAAGTCCAATGCAATACACTGCCTAAATAACCAGACAAAGAATTCAACAAATTCTTCTGGTAGCACAACAGGAAAAGTAAGAGGTGCGTTGAATAAATCAGTTGAAAGGAGTCATTTCACCTTCTTTGGAAGCCTCCTTAGCATTTCAAGTGATATATATGAACCAATAGAGTGTCCTACCTTCATGGAAAATTTAGACATCAATTGCCAAGAGTTTTCAGAAATCGAAAATCAACTGTGACAATTTTGGAATATATCATTTTAGAGAGATTGTAATGCTTTTTCCAAGCCAAAGTAATGAAAAGTACTGTTGACTAGTAGAGATGAAATTTCAGCAGCTGTCTTCTTAACAGAAAACAAAAAAAAAATGCTACTAATTTAGCTCACGTTGGAAATATCATCAGTTCCCACAGACATTAAGAAATACTTTGATTAATTTTAGGCAGAGCCATCATGAAGAAGAAACACAGTATGAAGAACAACTCAGAAACATATAGTCATGGGATTTCAATTGTAAGACATGCATGTTGTCTGAGCCTCTGTACATTCAAATCAGAAATGCTAACAACTATAGCTGTTCAAAATGAAAATTGTCAACATCCTGCTTCCTCATTTTTTATCTCAAATAAAGCCATGGACTTGTTGACACAGATGCTGCACTTTATTAAATGTCAGACAGAAAAGTACACGCTAAAAGGTCTTGGAGAAATACAAACACGCATTCACAAATAGACGAGCATAGGAATTCAATTTAATGTCTCTTTGTTCTTGCTTCTAGAAACATCGTAGTTATAAGCATTCAACTTAGAACTAGTGTGCAGGAAAAAATATGAGTGGAAAAAGATGCTCAAGCAGATCCTAAGTGAATTATGCTTTTCTTTGCTGATAACATTTCAAGAGGTTATATTTTTGGAAGAAGAAACCTTTTTTTTTTTTGGACAATCAAGAAGAAGAAACAACATATAGGCAGCAAATAGTCCTACCAGAACTAAAGGAACTTTGATATTTTGCCCTTTGATGAACTCCATCTGCAAAAGTAAAAATTAGAGCAAAGATTATAACCTTGTTTGCTGAACTGGGAAAGTAAAATGGTTTTGATCATAACTACAAACTAAGATCATCATCTGGAAGGTAGGACTTGACAAAAGGATATACAGTGCTTTACAGATGCAAGAGCAAATACTATCCAATTAGCATTCAATAGGAAAAAGAAGCTCAGTGATATGCTGAGGACATTTAATTTGATTTCAGGGACTAAAACATAAAACTTGAGTCCTCAAGTTTGCCATCATTAAGTTCAGTCTTCCAACTAAAGCAAGTTTGTTAAGAATGTTCCAAATAGCTCCATAACATAACAAATCAAAATGTATCATATTCATCGACCTTGCAGGACATTAAAATTACCAATAGAGAATAACTGACAATTTTGAAAGCAACTAATCAAAATTCTTCCAATCTATCAATCTGCTAAAACCCAAATAGATAATCAGAAGGTTACCTTGTGATCAATTTGTTCTTGCAAGGAAAACAACTTTCCATCCTCCCAGTTCTAGCAACAGAGGTTATAGAAGAAAAAAACAATTAGAAAATTACATATATAGAAAATAGATACAATTTAAATTGTATGAAAAGCACTCGCTCCATATATATATGCATGCAATAAAAATGGTAATGCACCTTTTCTGTCTGACCTGCGTACCCAACAGCTGCTCCGAATCACAGAAAAGCAACTGTTAGCAACAACATTAGGGCTAATAATCAACAATGTGAATTTCTTATTAAAAAAAGGTTCTCAATCTTTTGCCTGATACAGATGCAGTTCCTCCAAACAACTCAAATAATGATTCCACAAATTCCTTGTAAAAGGTAATAATACCTGTGATGACCAGCAGCACTTGAGACATTGTTCTCAATTCAACTATTAGCAAAATATTAATCAAAGACATTAACAAACCAGGATTTCCAGGAACATAAACCACATGAAATGAAGGATGATCAGCATGAACTTCCAGAATCTCAGTCATGCAACTGCCCAGTACAGATGTCCAAAAATCAATAAAACAAGAATTAACATAAAACCCCTTAAAAGATGGAATCCTCATAAGCATAACATACCCTGAGACATTACACAACCGAAGATTCACACATTTTTTAACATCTGAATGCAAATCATCAAAACCCATTTTTCTACTTGTGCGATTTGATGTATCAGTTTTCCTACAAAGTAAAAAGTTTGTCACAGAAGAAAGAATTGGGTTAGCTTAACATTGTCAAGAACCTGGGCTTTACCCATTTCTCGTGACATTGTAAATATGCTTAAAAACTGAGAAATGAGAATAACCAAGCCCGTAGTACATGCATGAACTGTCTTATAAAACTAATGCATACCAAAAACAGTTGAAAAAGAAAAAGGACCAGAAACTATCCAAACCAAAACAGCAAATTAACAAAGGTAATATGCCTTAATAGCTGTTTTGTTATCGTATGAGTAATTGAAAATGCCTGTAATGGAATGAGCGAATGAAAGGAAGTGGTCTCGATGTTAGAGAAACAACCCGAGGTAACATTTGTGATCCTAGTTTTACTCCCTTCGTACATCTACGCCTTTTCCATTTTTTCTCTGTATCCTGTACGAAAGGACACCTTTTCTTCATGATTTTTTATTTAGTACTTGGGCGCCGGGACGGGAAACGGAAGGGGTTTAGGGGTTAAGATCCACGCACCACCGCATGGGTCGGGTACACTCCGTTAATTATTGACACAATTTTAGGTCAATCCTATTGCCTAATTGTCTTTATCTCCTTTAACCTTTATGATAAAATTATTTGCCACATCTGTAAATGATTTAAAACTGTCAGAACTTTTTTTTAATTTTTTTTGAAAATTATGCTTTATAGAAACCTTACAAAAATATAAACATTTAGCTCGTGGGGAAGTTTAAATGTGGGACCACTTGTTTAGGTTCCTGAACGCTATCCTAGTGTCCACACCTAGACCTCGAATCGCGTGTCCAAACATTTGTTGTAGACATGATAATTTTAAGCATAATAAGATAACACGATAAAAAAAATAAAATTAAATAAGCTTAAATTTAATTTTAAGGCATTTTATATTTAATTATATCAGACACGTTTAAATCATAAAAATTTTTAAATTTTAATACGTTAGACTTGAATAACACATATTTAAATATGTTGAATTAATCATGTTATCATGTTTAAATGTATTTGCATGACATGTTTATCAACTTATCAAAAATTAATAATCAAAGATTATTTTAATTTTATTTAAATAATTTTAAATAATTATTTTAATAAGTTTCTTAAATTTAATAAAGATAATAATGTAATTATATCATACCCAAACCCTAATTTTGAACTTTTGTCTTGTTATCATTTTGGATCATTTTAGATATTATTAGTATTTTAAGGTTAGATGTTAATAATGAATGTTATCATAGTATATGATAATGAATTTTATGTATGTTATTTATATTAATTTTTATTATATTTTATGTTATTATTATTTTATTATATTATAATTATTTTTATAATTATTTATTTTAAATTAAGTAAGAAAATTATATTTAGTTGTAAATATTTTTATTTAATTGTGCTATTAATTGTGTCGTGTCCTATATTGACATGTTTAATAAACGTATTAATCTTATCATGTCATGTCGTGTTGTGTTATACAGTTATTAAACGTAAACATGTACGTACGTATTTCAAATTTAATGCACGAATATTATTCATATCGTATTTTATTTAACCTTAACGTATTTCGTATCTAATTATATTTAACACGTTTAATACACCAAAACACGAATTGCAAGATCTAATTTGGTGTAGCATTCTCCCATTTTTATCAGACCAGCTCTCCTTACTTCTTATATGCTATCCCTTAAAATTCGTAGTAACCATGTTCTAACCCTCTACAATGCCTCACTAGAATTAACAGTTCATGATATTGCATTCTTTGAGTAACTATACACACAAATTTCTCGTCAAAATTTCTTGACTTGAAAATTATGAGACAAATACAAATATTTGATAATATGAGTGATAATCTTTGAAAATTTCTCTGATTAATTTCTTTACTTCGTCTTCAAGAGTTACGAACTAGGACTTAGTCTTAATCATGAACTTCACTTAATCTTTGCTTCAAGGGTCTTCACGACTTAATTTTGATCATGAACACTTAATATCTTCGCTTCAAGAGTCTTCACGGCTTAATCTTGATCACAAACACTTGATATCTTGATCACGAACACTTGATATCTGGATCACGAACTTCATTGTCGTTTGATTTTCACTTTAGAATTCTTCGCTCTTCTTGATCTTTGAAATGCTCTCAATCTTTGAATGCCTCCCAATCTTCGAATGCTTTCGAATGAATGAAAATGGCTTGAAGGAGCCCCTATTATAATGCTAGATGAGAGACTTTAATGAGAATGTAATCGCTTTGAATCATCTCTAAGTTATTTTAATTTATTTAGAGATAAATCATGATGACTCTTTAAAAGTCTTTTGATTGGCCGGACTTTGAGTCCTTAAATTTTGATTGACCGAAGTTAGGTATTATCTCCAAATTATCTTAACTTATTTAGAGATAAATTAAATAATTCAATCTGATTTTTATTTTTAAATTAATATGATTATTAGAGATAAATTAAACAACCAATAATTAAATTTTGATTGGTCAAAAATATGAATATTATCTTCAAATTATTTAAATTTATTTAGAGATAAATTGGATGACCAATAACTAATTTTGATTGGTCAAAATATAAATATTATCTCTAAATTACTTTGATTTATTTAGAGATAAATTGGATGACCAAAAACTAATTTTTGATTGGTCCAATTTAAATATACCAATAAGTGAATTGGTTCAACTATATGTCTTCAACCAAAAAATTAATTATTTTATAATTAATTATATGGTTAAAATATTATTAAATCCACATGGTATTAGGTAATTGGTTGATAATTTTTCTCTTTCTACAAATTCCCTCTCAAGACTTGTTCACACATGATTTTTGAATGTGACAAGTGGATAAGTCTTGAAAATTAAAAAAAAAAATTCTAGGATTCCTTAGAATCCTAATGTGCCTTGGTACACTTACAATCCAAGTTATATTTGAATTATGCTTACCTATAGGTAATAGAATTATGATCTTGGAAGATGTATCAATAAAACTACTTGAAGAAGCATATTGCAATAAAACCATAATCTTGAAAGAAATATATTGCAATAAAACTATTTAAAGAAGTATATTGCAATAAAACTATGACTTTGTAAGAAGTATATTGCAATTGGTATTGCATTCCTTATTCAAGTAAAACTCTTTCTTTTTACTCTTATAAGAAGAAAGCTCCCTTGTCAATTTTCTGCACACCAAAATATTAGATTTACGAGTATTCCATAAGCTAGCAGAAATATTCTTCAAGCTTCGCCACTTATGTCTCAAGGTAATACGACTATCTTTCTTATTTTGATAACTTGCTATCTTGTCACCTTATTTATTCAATTCCTGTTGCATTCCAAGATTTCATGCCACGTTACAAAGCTAAACAAAAGAAGCCAAGAATTGTCTAAAGTCTTTTAATTCTCATGACCCTTCTGCCATGTCATACAACTAAGCCAAGATTTCAACAATTGACTAATGCCCACATTAAATCATCTTTCTACCACGTTAAAAGGCTCATGCACTTTGTGTTCTTTCCACATTACACACCTAGGAAAGGAAATGATACTAGCCATCATTTGTTTCAATTGTTATGCTAAAAAAAATCATCCAAGGCACCATTTATCTTGCCACGTTTCAATTGCCATGCTAAAACATACAAGTCGCCATTTGTTTCAATTCCCATGCTAAAGCATGCAAGCCATCATTTGTTCCAATTTCCATGATAGGCCACCATTTGTTTTGCCACGTTACAAGAACATAGGAAAAACGTTAAAGAGGCTAAGAATTGGCCAATATCTTCTCATCAACTTTCTATACATACAATCGTAAATTGTTGTGCTAAAAGAAATTGGCAGCAACTTAAAGTGGTGCTCTTTATAATAATAAGTGATTTGTTATTCTTGGAGGGTACTCTTTACAATAGCACTTATTGATCCTTGGGGGGTGCTCTACACAATTTATTATTCTTGGAGGTTGCTCTTTAAAATAGCACGTGTTGATCCTTGAGAGGTGCTCTTTATACTAGCACACAATTTATTATCCTCGAAAGGTGCTCTTTATACTAGCACACAATTTATTATCCTCGAAAGATGCTCTTTATAATAGCATTTGTTGATCTTTGAGAAGTGCTCTTTATACTAGCACATAATTTATTATCCTTGGAGGGTGCTCTTTATAATAGCACTTGTTGATCTTTGGTGGTAATCTTTATAATAGCACACAATTTAGAATCACCATGGTATACCTCAAGGGCTACAAAAATTAACTTGTTATTCTTTCAAAAAAGGATGAAGATATGAAGAAAGGGTTGTTTCTTCCCATAACGAGACCTATTGTTGGTCGTTTTGGCATCTCAACCACTCAATGCTCCTACAACTTTGGAAGAATGGACTTTTAAACCAATCAAGAGCTCACAATCTTCTTCAATAGCTCGATGTCTCCAATATTATCTTCATGACAAAACTTTCAATCAAGAGGAATTTATCACATTGGTAAGCCGTATAATTTCTGATGAGGCTTATCGGGGCAGTTCTTTCATGATCAATGTGGAATTTAAGTATATCCCAAATATTGAGAGTGGACTAAAGATGTGTTATTTCGATATGAGAAGCTTTTATGTGATATGAACATGACTGATGCTATTTACGCATTTTTATATACTTATGATTGTAATAAAGATATCATTCGAGCATTTTGTAAGAGTTGGTGTCCAACCATGAATGCCCTTCATACTGCTTTTGGATAGGCTTCCTTATCATTATGGGACTTGCATAAATTGAGTGGTCTTCCTATTCATGGTTGGTTTTATGATGAGGTCATTCCTTCTACTAAAGAATTGATTGGTGTTGGTGCCAATGGGAGAAGATTTCTTCCCAAAAGTTGTGAATACTTATTTGATGCCTTTCATTGTTTGCACAAAAGAAACGATGATCAAGGCAAAGTCTATGTCGATGATTGGATCAATTTTTGTTTCAAGGTAAATTATGTTATCAAAAACCTCCAGCTCGTAAAGCCAAGAAGTCAACTCGTATTAAGGCCACGCACAACCCTACTGGAATTATCAAGAAAATTGAACCTTGGGCCTTGACTGGAGCTAAGGCATGCAAAGAACTTGGTGTTAAAGACAATCATAAGGCTGATACATATTAAGCTGCTTTCTTTTCTTGTTGGCTCTGTGTATTTGTTTTTCCAAGCGTAGAATCTATCATTCAACCTGAGACATTTAAGATTGCTAGCCTCATAGCTATTGGCTCTAAAGGTGTTAATCTTGCCATTCCAATGCTTGCCCAGATCTATCGAGGGCTTAATCAGATTGTCTTTTCTACTCAAGCTAGTTCTTTGGATGCATGTGTTCTTGTTCATTATTTTTATGGGTGGTTGGGTCATTATTTTGAAACTCATTTTTCAACTCCACAAGAAGTAATTGGACCCATGATGGTGAAATTCTCTAGAGAAGGTGGGGCTAAATATTTTATTGAAC